TTAGAAACATGAAGGTACAAAAAAGGCTGATGACTCTAATCTAGATAAGGCTAAGGAAGAGTTAGAAAAAATAAGATCAGAAAAATTAAATGATAAGATCAAAGGTAAAATAGATAGAGGAAGGAGATAAACCTACTAAATATTTCTGCAATCTAGAGAAAAGAAACTTCTGTCTTACGAAAAATAATACATGGGGACCAAACAGAATTTATACCAGGTAGAAATATCAGAAAACACAAGAATGATTTATGTTATTATGAATTATACTAAAGTCCAAAATATTCCTGATATGATTTTTCTTATTGATTTAAAAAAAATTTGATACAGTGTCTTGGGATTACTTATGAATATTGAAATTCTTTAATATTAGAGAATCTATTAGAAAAGGGGTTCAAGTCTTTTACAAGAATATTACAACAACAGTAAATCAAGGTGGTGACTTATCAAGATGGTTTAGTAATGGAAGAGGTTTAAGACAGGGAGACCCAATATCCCCTTATTTATTCCTATTATGTGCAGAAATATTGATAATAATATTATGATGTCATGAAAAAATTTAGGGTACTAAAATTGGAGAGGAAATCCAACTAATATCGCAATTTGCAGAATACACCTTCTTTTTTCAAATGGAACTATAAAGACCTTAGAAACAACTTTACAGGAGATTAATTATTTTTTACATTTGTCTGGTTTAAAAGTTAGGATATACGAATTGGTAGCAAAGGGTTTTGTGTTGAAAAGCTACTGAATAATACAGAGCTGATTTGGGGAGGTAAATCCTTTCAAGTTTAAGGAATAGAATTTAATGTTGACTTATAGCAAATGCTGAATGCAAATTACAATTCCAAAATAATGTTTATTCGAAGTTTATTAAATCATTGGGGAAGAAGGAATCTCACACCATTAGATCGAATAACAGTCATCTAGTTTCTAGCTATTTAAAAAATAGTTCCTTTGTTTATTTCCTTAGCAACCCCACTTAAATATATTTTTAAAAATCTAAATCATAACTTTTTTGATAGAGATGTGTGCATGTGAATATATGTCCATGTACAGTGTATGTATTCTTGGAAAAATTTTTTGAAGTAGTTAAATTCATTTGTTGTTGTCGTTGTTTTATATATATATTTATTTTATAGCGAAAATATACGAGACTGCTTTCTGGGACTGCTTTTGGGCTGCTAAAGCAGTCCCAGAGCGGTCCCACAGGAGTCCCACAGCGGTCCAAAAAACGGTCCCAGGGGTCTCAGAAAGCAGTCCCAGTAGGCGGAGTTAATAATTTAATGGACGAAGCTTAGTCATAACTGAGATTACACAGTGTATCAACAAACAATGTCAGTAATATAAAGGCAGTTGAAATTAAATGATGCACTTCTATTTTTAGGAGAAAAAGTGTTAGACATGTTACATGTACAGGATATTAACAATTCTTATGTGACAATTATTTTTGAATAAATTACAGTATATATAAGAGAAATAAATAAATAATAATAATAAAAGTAGAAAAGAGACTTTCACATTAAATACACTATAATCTGTAGCATATTAATTTTAAACCAAATTAACTATTGTTTATTAATTTTTATTTATTGATAATGGTTACCATATGTATTTTTTTCATAGAAAATTAATCATGTGCTAAATAAAATGAATGGCTTATTTTTAGACTAGAATTTAATGACTTTGAAATAGATTCTAAATTTATAGAGCAAGGCCTATTCCCATATTACTCCGTGTACGTTTTTCATTGACGTTGAAGCTTGAGAAAATATGCATGTGTATCATGAATCTGATACATGTACTAGTGAATTTTTATCAAATTTTGCTTACTAATATATTCTGGCTATCATTTTCATTGACTTGTCGATATAATTATTGTAAGAATCTAAACGCAACATAAAACATTTCACTAAAATATATCCTGGGCCCTTACATCAGTGTGCATGTACATGTAAATCACGCAAGTGACTACCTCAAATATTTGAGAAATAAATGATCCTGAAATACATTTATACCATATTAATTAAAACAAGGGTTTTGCCTTGTAAAGAACGAAATAAATGCCATTTTTGAGCAGCATGGTTAGTGATGTGTAACAATGATACCCAAATAACACGCGTGGACTGTCTGCTATTCATGCTCAAAGGTGATTGAAAACTTAGCCAGGTGTTTACCCATTTTATACACCGTGTACGGCTTTTAAGGTGAAATATCCCTCTGCTCGAAAATTTCATCAATTTTTTTTTTTACAATTCCCAACACTGATTTTTATCAATAGCAATAGTATTAGATTCAAATGGAAAATAGTTTGAAGTATGAAGTGTTGCTTACTTTTTCAGAAATTAATATTATATATAATCATGATATGAAGAAAATTTGATATATTGAATAGGAAGATCAATAATTTTTTATCTTACTCTAAAATTAAGAAATGAAGTATATAATTATGAAAAAATATATACTATCATACCTATCTAATTCACATTAAAATCAGAATATCACAGTGTTTTCTGTGCTTGTAAAATAAAAATACATCCATCTACAAGAGTTATCTTTCCATCTACAGGATTTATCGTTCTTCAAAATATTTTTAGTGAAAAAAAAAATTAATTAATTAATCGTAAAAAGTCTGGTTAGTCTGAACCTGAAATTTCTGTAACAATTAAAAGAATTATATGTTAAGAGAGAGGAATATGTCAATTTTAACAGTTTAAAGGAAACGAGTATAAATGTTTTAGGTAAAGTGTTATAAGTAATTAATAAAAAATATAAGCAATAGAAAATAGAAATCAATATTTGTAACTTATTTCGGATTTAAATGAGTTAACTATATAATGGTCCTCATTATTAAACTTTCATAAGACAATTCAATGAAATTCTTGGATTTATTTCATTGGAAAGTTATTTCTCTTATCAGAGGGATATTACACCTTAATCGGCCAGACAATGTAGTTGTTACGTGTATCTTGTTTTTCCTTAAACGTTCACAAAAAGAAATGAGAAATAAAACACAGATCTTGATATTTTCAACCATATTAATTTAAAAATATAATTTCATACATGTATGTTTAGTAAAACGTTGTTATAAGTTAAAAATTAATCCGGGAAAAAAATCAACGAATAATTGCTCATTATTTTTTGTTTGTATGAGGGGAGATTATTTCATAGAAAAAGATTGTCTTTATTTGAATAAATAATTAGGTTTTATTCTGAAGCGGTAAAGAAAACGGCATTGGATGTTTTTCCCCGTGATAGCTGTCTTTACAGTATTTCCAGTGCAGCATATCGCTTTGAATATTTTAAAACTAGAATGCCGTGATTGTTTCCTTCTTAGGACATAGAATAATGTAAACTTTGAGTACATAATTTAAAAGCTTTAATTAATTACATAAATTGTTTAGTTGCAAACACCTGCACCTGCGGATTTAAAAAAATCATTTTCTGACTTCTATTTTTTTAACTGGCAAAGTATCTTTTTATCATTTCCAAAATTTAATTAATTTTTCTAATTCATTTTACACCGCTTTGGTGCGAAATCGGCGGTTGATGTATATTAATATCCCATTTTCCTTCAGTAGCTAACCGCACTTGTTAAATTTTTGGAAAATCCTTGTTGGTTTTACAACTTCTCTGCTGAAACTACTACACAAAATAAAACCTGCAAATTCAGAATACACAAAGGGCGGGCTTTCTTGTCACTCGGAATCATTTTCACGCATGGGTGAACAAAGCAGTCCAAGAAAGCAGTCCCAGGGACTGCTGGGACTGCCGGATTTGCTTTCCCACAGCGGTCCCAGAGCAGTCCCAGAGCAGCCCCACAGCGGTCCCAGAGCAGTCCCAAAGCAGTCCCGGGGGCTGTTTCTGGGACTGCTTGGGTGTCAGGTTGGGTCTGGTTGGTACTGTACTTTCTACACTGTTTTATGGGGTTTTTTTTTTCTATTTCATTCAACACAAAAACTGAAATATAGTAAAGAATACATCTCGACATCCCCCTTGCATATTGGTACCTAATTATTAAAAAAACAAAACCAAACGATAAATAGATTTTGTTTTAAAAAATGCAGTTCTCAAAACAAAATATCGATCATTGTGTGATTTCCAATGAATATCCCAGACTCATAGACCTTGACTGTCATATTAATGAGAATTGAGAACAATTCAACCCCATCTTGAATTGAATGGCATATGTGGCATGGTTTTTGAGATTGGAAGGAATTTCATGAAGTTTTCTCCTAGACTCTCAGTAGTAAATAAAATTAATAAATACTAGCTAGTATTTAATCAACTTTGATCAACTTAGCCCTAAACCGTGGTGACTAACCAGTGGACACATCATTTCACTATTTGCTTGAGTTCTCATAGCTAATTGTTAGCATGCATTTAATTTGTTTGCTAAATGTCCAAAAAGATTTTAAAAGGTATAATAATTTTTAATTAATGATATAATAATAAACAAGGATTTTATATCTACTATATTATTAAATAGTTTAGTGTAAAACTAAATGTACAGACAGAATTTTATGATTAGGGATCAAATTTGGTAATTTATTCGGAAAATTGTCTCGAGAGTTCGTTCTCTTTGAATAAGTTCCACACAATTTGCATATATTTTTCAAAATGTAATGTTTAATATATACAGCAATGGTCTCTACAACTGCGAACAGTTTTATCAGAATAAATTATTGTCTTTGTCTTTGTTTAGCCTTTTCTGATAAATTCCGAGATAGTAAATACCATTTTCACCATTTGTTATGTTGTACATTTCAATGCTGACATTTTGCTGATTTGAAGGCTGAACGTTTACTTGAAAAGGAGAAGATGTTATTAATAATTCCTCATCTCTGCAAAAACTAGTGCAGATTGATGAATTAATTCTATTAAAGAAAAAATTAAAGTCTTTGACTTGATAATCTACTATTTAGAAATTGTAAAAACAATTTTACTGTTGTTATAAATAAAGACCTTATCTTATCTCCACGAGAAAAAATGAATATACTCACTGGCATATAAAAGTCAAATTTCCGTTCAAACACAACTACATTTATATAAATTATAGTTCCAAATATCACCGATGTCAAGAATATCATGCCTTTCACTTTGCCAATTCTGTAAGACCGTCGTATTTTGTTAAGTAGTGAAGTCAGTGTTCTCCTCATTCCGTAGCATTAGCAGGGATGGAGGAAATCATTATCATGCAACATAGATATAAAGCCGAGAAGAAGAGTTAGTCTGATAAATCAGCCCTTCCTTACGGTGTTCCGCAATATATATTTATCGTTCATTTATGTACCAAGCTACCTAAAAATGTCAAATGAAATCACACGAGACTTCCCGAGAAAAGTGCGAGATTTAAAGCTTTGGTCACTATTTGCGTTTCTTACCATATCATTTACTCTTAAATCTTGCGTTATTTTTCTCCTCTTAAATATTCATAATTATCATTATAATTTCCTCTTAATTATTTATAACTAGGAGCGTGATAGATAAGCAAAATCCCATTAATCTGACAGACTCTTGTTTTCAGTTGTATGTGAAGTGTGGTGGTGTGTAGTAGTAGTAGTGCAATTATACATCCTGCCTCTATCCCTGATAATGAAACAAGAGTTGGGAACACTGACTTTCAAATAAACAGGCAAACTGGAGCACTAAAGACGGTCATACGTATATATGAATTAAATGTTCTTCTCTACTCAAAGATGTCTACAAGCAAAATGATTGCACGATTATAACGAGCAGCTAGCACTCTGTCCACTAGAAATCCTTAGGAGACGTTAACACTGCAACGGAAGAATTTGTCGTTTACATTGTCTCTCGTGATTCCGTTATCTTGAAAATTGACTTAGTTTATCGAGATAAAACGTCTGTTTGGTTGTTTGAATATCTAGGCAACACTGGTCGTGACCCTCTTATCTGGCTATACTTTTACATAGGAAAAGGTTTATGGAGTCACATGTTTTCACTTGGAGGAGAATGCACACCTTTAAAGAGACATGTGAAAGAATTCAGGGTAAGTTAATAAAAATTGTCAAGTTGAAGATGCTCTCTCTCTCTCTCTCTCTCTCTCTCTCTCTCTCTAAGTGTATACATGTAGTGTGTTGTCAAATATAACAGTTTTTCAAACTATATTTCTGAGGACTTTTAGTCCCCCCCCCCCCCCCCCAAAAAAAAGATGTTGCACAGTGTACATAACGCATTCCAAAATCGAATTTAAGCATTTTGCCCTCAGGTATTGACAAAATCTTACAAAAAGTTTTGTATTTATTGATCAGACTGCGCAAAATCAGCATTTTTCAAATATAAAGGCGATCTTGGGTCACAAACAAAATGAAATGTAAACATTTTAGAAAATACTGATAATACATATTCACAACAAAAGGAAACTTTTCATGTTGATGATAGCGAGGCTCTACGGAGTATATTTCCCCTCAAAGAAAATCACAATATTGGACGAAAGTTTAACATTGAAATGTATAGGAAAAAGTCTTTAAAAATCTTTTTCTCAAGAACCACCAGGCCAGAGTAGATGAAACCTATGTAAGCTATCTGAGGAAGTGTTGATTCTAAATTTTCCAAATCATGACCTCTGGGTATAAGATGGCGCCACAATAGGGGATGAAATTTTTCATATTGAATTGTATATATAAAAATCTTTTATTCAAGGCCAACTTGGCAGGAAAAGCTGAAATTTGTGTGCAAGCTTTCTGTGGAAGGGTTAACTCAAACTTGTTCAAATCATGGTCCCGGGGGTACAGAGGAGCCACAATAGGGGATCAAAGTTTTACATTAAAATATATTTTTCAAAAATAAAAAATCCTCTACCCAAGAACTGCTAGACTAGAAAATACAAAACTTATGCAGAAGCTTTCCGTTTATTCTTAATTATTTAAATCGTAGACTCCAGGGATAGAGTTCGTCCACAATAAGAGATCAATTTTTTTTACATTGAAGTATTTAAGAAAGTATATACGAAAAAAAAACTTTAAAAATCTTAAGTACCACTAGACCAGAAAAGATGAAACTTATGTTAAAACTTCCTGGGGTAGTATAGATTCTAAGCTGTTCAACTCATGTTAGGTTGGAGCCAGAATAGGTGATTTTTAACATTTAAATGTTTAGGGAAAAAAAACTTTTAAATCTTATGAACCACTGGACCAGAAAAATGAACATTTTGAGAAAACCTCTTTATATGATGATGTAGATTATTAATTGTTCAAATCATTGGCCCGTGGGATAGCGTGGGACCACACATGGCCCTAGGAACCGGGGGCAACGTGGGGGGTGCCCCTGATAATTATGCCGATATATAGAATACTACAGAAAACATAACTAATATATGCTTGTGCCCCCTCAATAATAAAGTCTGATGACCTTTTAAGCTCACCTGAGCCGAAGGCTCAAGTGAGCTTTTCTAATCAAAGAGTGTCCGGCGTCCGTCTGTCGTCTGTAAACTTTTCACATTTTCGACTTCTTCTCAAAAACCACTGGGCCAAATTCAACCAAAACTTGCCAGAAAGCATCCTTGGGTGAAGGAGATTCAAGTTTGTTCACAGGAAGTGCCGTGCGCTCTTTCAAGGGGAGATAATTAAGAATTAGTAAAAATCTTCTTCTCAAGAATCATTGGGCAAGAAAAGATAAAACTTATATAAAAGCTTCATTATATACTCCAGGTTCAAATTTGTTCATATCATAACCCCTGGGGTAGGGCGGGGCCACAAGAGGGGGTCAAAGTTTAACATAGGAGTATATAAGAAATTTATTTAAAATTCTTCTTCTCAAGAACAACTGAGCCATGATTAGTCATATTATTATAGAAATATCCTCAGGTAGTGTAGATTCATGTTTGTTCCAACCATGGCCCCTGGGGGTAGGGCAGGGCCACTACACGTGGGTCAAAGTTTACCATAGGAATATGTAGGAAATATCTTTAAAAATCTTCTTTTCAAGAACAGCTAAGCCATGATTAGATTTATTAATATAGAATATCCTCAAGTAGTGTAGATTAAACTTGTTCCAATCATGACCCCTGGGGTGAGGCAGTGCCACAAGAGGGGGGTCAAAGTTCACCGTAGGAATATTAAGGAAATATTTTTGAAATTCTTCTTTTCAAGAACAGCTAAGCCATTATTGGACATATTAATACAGAAGTATCCTCGGGTTGATTAAAGTTTGTTCCAATCATGACCCCTGGGGGTAGGGCAGTGCCACAACAGGGGAGGTCAAAGTTTACCACCGGAATATATAAGAAATATCTTCTCAAGAACAGCCAAGTCATTATTATACATATTTTGATACGGAAGTATCCTCAGGTAGTAGTATATTTTCAAGTTTGTTAAAATCATGACCACTGGGGGTAGGGCAGGGCACAACAGTGTGCAAGGTTTACATATGAATGTATAGGTGTAATGGTTAAGGGGCATTGGAGTAAAACGAATTGAAGACTTCAAATAGTGGAATGACCTGACAACCCTTGAAATGGACTAGCTTAAGGGTATATAAGGCAAAGCTTTGGGAAAGTAGGCATTTAAGAAGGTAGCAGAAGAAGGTGCATTATGAATCAGCAATAAAGAAGTTAAGGTAATTCATCCTAATAGCAAAAGATTCAATGAAATTGAATACATAAAAGATGTTTAGGTGTTGAATACTCAGTATATTTAGACATATTTCCCATTTATTACTATTGGACTTTTGCGAGAAGCGCTGACTTTTACAATCGGCGGCCTACTTTTGCACTAGGACAATATACGGAAGCTCTTTTGCAATATAAATATAAGCATAACAATTAATTAAACCATAATAATGAACCATTTCAAAGCACATATTATGTTGTCTAGGAAGGGAACGGAAACCACCCTACCCTCAACCCCCTCCTTTCCCACTTTGACCAACTCTTTCTTAGTTTTCCTTCTGGAATGCTTTTTTTCTTCTTTATTTGATTCCTTCAGAAAATGAGATTGAAAGGAGATACTACCCCTCACAAATAAGGTAATTTAAGTAATGTTATTCTGTCTCCCATTATTTCTTGCGTTGATTGCATACCGGTAAATCATATTAGTGCCCCTAACACCATACCTATAACCACTATTAAGGCTTTCTTGTCTATTGTCAATTCCGCACCCCCATACATAAGGCATCTTTAAATGTCAAAGTAAGCCGTCGACTGTAAAAGTCAGTGCTTCTCGCAAAAGTCCATTAGCATATAAGGGTGGGATGTGTCCTAATTCATGACCTTGAATTTCTGGTAAGAGTTGTTTCCATCTGTTTTTAATTAATAAAACAATCAATTTTAAAAATCTTACCTGGTATAAAAAAATCATTTTCAATTGTCATTCTATTTTTAATGTGTTTGAGTTCATTTTTTCTCTACAGTATTCATTGATATTCTTATTATTTGAATTTTTATTTTTTTAAAAAAATGCTCCATAGACTTCAATGCAATCTTTGTTAAGTACTTAATTAAGATCTGGGTGTAGTAAATCTGAAGAAAATTGAGACAACTGATTCTTATCTATCAATGGGAACCTAGGGGAGAAACTCAGTGCAAGTAGTACCTTGCCCAGTTCCCATCTCTAGATGAAAGAGAAATTTAAGTACTATGTGTCATAACCTCTAACATAGCTGTCCAATCATAAACTCAGACAGAGTAAAAAAGAAAACCAATATATCTCTTTTAAGAACCTGATCATACAAGTTACATAGGAAATATCTTTGAAATCTTCTCAAGACCAACTAAGCCATTATTAGTCATATATATATACAGAAGCAACCTTAGGTATTGTAGAATCAAGTTTGTTCAAATCATGACCCCAAGGGGTTAGGGCACAACAGAGGGTCAAAGTTTTGCCTAAGAATATATCGGAATCATCTTGAAAAAATCTGCTGCTCAAGAACAGCAAAGCCATGATTAGACATATTATTATAGGAGCATCCACAGGTAGTGTAAATTCAAATCTGTTCAAAGGATGAATCGTTTAAACGTCCAAATCTGGCCCCCCGACAATTTACAAAAAATTGAATTAAAGATTTTCTACATATTTTTGCCTCAATCTTTCCATCAAACATTGTAGTTTATTAATTTCAATTTCAATTTTTACTTCC